ACGATGTGCTTGCTCCGGACTCGACTATCCTCCTTAAAAGATTTCTGCATAATCTTTTAAGGTGGAAACAAACACTTCTTGATATGCGTCAACTCACTCCATGTGAAGTTCTACACCAGGAAGGGAAAGATCAAGCGAAATTATCAAAACACGAAATTGGCTAACGAAAGAAGCTTCAAGCACAACTCAAATTTGTTTATCATACAAAACATCAAGGGTTTGCAAAAGTCTATAAGAAGACAAGAATTCGATAAGGGAACAAAGTTGCCTCGCATCCACGAGTCCACTATTTACCGCCTCCTTCATCGGTTCAAGCTGTTCTCGGTAAGTCCTGTTGCTGCTAGGAAATCGCTTGCGGCTTAATATACTAAAGAGAATTTTTTAAAATGAATAGGTCAGCGCCGCCTTGACTGGTTTCTAATCATGCATCTAATGGTCCTATCGACAACGGTTAGAGACTCTCGAATACCCAAATAACTGGGACTCTTTCGGTCGTCTTCTCCCTTCATTTAAGCCTTCTCCTTTTGAGATGGCATTGCGAATAGTCCTCTCTTGAGGAAAGCAAGTCTTATAGCAAAAGCACTGCTATAAAAAAAATTTAACTCGATAACATTATATCGAATTTTCAAACAGACAATTTCTCAAGTCGGAACTTAACTCTATACCGCTAGAGTTCAAGTTCATAAAACTAAGTTCACACTCATCTAGAGTTCAAGAACGTTTAAAAGCAGGAGGACAAAATTCCTAAGCCCCGATTTCACTTCAATAATCAATATTCAAGCAATGCGCAATAACCTCAAAATCATTCAAGTACTCCTACCTGAGCTTGCGTGGCACGACGAGAGCGAGTGGTCATAACACAATGTCAAGCATATATTCACATAATCAAATTTTCATACTTACACTAGTCTACAGAAACGCAGACTGGCTCTGATACCAAACTGTAACGCCCCACTTTTATTTGCCGAAAATCTGAATAAATTTTTCAAATAAACCCACCTGGACTGTCTGCTTACTGACCGACTAACCAAACTGAAAGAATGAACGTGGTCTGAATGAGGGCTCGACTCCCCCTAATCCACAATTAGGGTTCAATTATTATTTATTATTATGGGTTTTCATTAACAAAAAAACGAGTACAGGAAACTAAACACATAAGAGCACATACACATCAATTAAGCAGATGAAATTAAACCAGTAAGAGCATAAAAATGCAGTCAAACGAAGTAGATAAGAGTACATAAATTTCTCAACTTTCAACTTCGAAGAATGCCAACAAATTAGAGTGAAGCATCTAAAACATATCTCATTATAAGCATGCTTATTACATAAAATAGGCTTAACCACAAAACTAATATAGCCTTCTATTCTCTTTTCTATTTCTCAATTAAACCCTACACATAACAAGACATTGAGGACTGATCTTAAGCTCTGAAAATCATCAAATAACATCATGCTAATGGTCACCAAGCTTCAGCAATAACCACATAAAAACTCGGCCAAAGAAAAAGCATTAAAAATGCCTCAACATTTCAGTATACAAAATCATGCGTGAATTATCCCCTTTTTCACTTTATATTCTTAACTTCAAAAATAAACTTAAGGCCCTAGAACTGAGCATAAATCAGTATGTTTGATCAGCCAAAAAGGCACAACAACATATACCAAA